CCCAGCAGGGAGCTGCGCCAAACAGAGATGGCTGACCTGCACTCCCAAAGCCGGCCTTTTTTTTTTTTTTTTTTTTTCACCCCCACCCGAGAGAATGGAGGCCGCTTTGATGTGGGCGCTTAGCCTGGTGTGGTGGGCGGGGGCCAGGCGGGCGGGGAGCAGTCGGGCTTCGCCCCGCAAGTCAGGCTGGACTGGTAGTGACTTACGGGGTCGCGGGTCTGTGGCAGTCTGACGAGCTTCTCACTGCTTTTGTGGAAACCTTTGCTGGCTTTCCGTGCCTTTGATGACTGGGCTGATCGCTCGTTCGTTCCCGCGGCCGGGCTTGGGCGCTCTCAGGAGACCTCTTCAGTGTCGGCCCCAAGACCTCGAACCTGCTGTCACTTGTTTGTCTACAGATTCTATATTATAAGTGTATTAGTCCGTTTTGTGTTGCTATAACAAAATATGTGGAACTGGGTAATTTATAAAGAAAATGAAGTCTATTTGCTTACAGTTTCTGAGGCTGGGAAATCCAAAGTCCATCTGCTGGTGGCGACAGTGACCCACGGGTCTCACATTGCTAGATGGTGGAAGCGGAGAACAGAGAGAGAGAAAGACAGACTCTCTCTTCTTTTAAAGCCCTCAGAACCACGCCCCTGACCACCATTTTTAATCCATTCACTACTGCACGGTCCTACAATCCAACCACCTCTTCAAGGCCCCACCTTATAATTACCATAATAGGATTTCCCACCCTCTTAACTGTCACAGTGGGGGCTAAGTTTCTAATACATAAAATTTGGTGGATACAATTCAAGCTTCATTGAGTTTTGGGGGGACATAATTCAATCCACTACATTCTGCCCCTGGCCCCAAAACTCATGTCCTTTTCACATGCAAATACATTCATTTCATCCCTAAAGTCTTAATTTGTTTCAACTCAAAAGTCCAAAGTTCAAAGTCCTGTCTGTGAAATCAATATAAGTTATCTATTTCCAACATACAATGGTGGGACAAACGTAGGATATATATTCCAGTTCCAAAAGGGAGAACTAGGCCAAAAGAAAGGTGTAACAGGTACTAAACAAGTCTGTAACCCAGCGGAGCAAGGATTAAATCTCAAAACTGGAAAACCAGGGACCTCGACTCCATGTTCAGTGTCCTCTGCATGCTAGTGTGGGGATTGTGCCCCCAAGTCCTTGGGCAGCTCTGCTTCTATGGCTTTCCTGGTCTCAGGCTACACTTCAGCTCTCCCAGGCTGTTGTTCCACTCTGGTAGCTCCACAAGTCTGGGGTCTCCATGGTGGTCCCGCTCTCATGTCTCCACTAGACATGGCACTGATGGGATTTCTCTGCTGCAACTCCAACCCCACATTTCCATTCGGCATTGCTCTAGTGAAGGTTGTCTGCAGTGACCCCACCCCATGACAGATCTCTTCCTGGGCCCCCAGACTTTTCCACACATCCTCTGAAATCGGGGTGGAGGCTCCCAAGCCTCTACAGCTCTCTACCATTCTGCAGGCCTGCAAACCTAACACCACATGGATGCCTCCAAGGCTTCCAACTTGTATATTCCAAAGCTGCAGTCCAGCCATGCCTGGGGCCAATTTACCCACAGCTGCAGCAGCCAAAGCAGCCAGGGTGCTGGTGCTGGAAGCAGCTTCCTGAGGTGGTCCTGGGCAGTGAGCCTGTGGAGGGCTCTTCAAGCCTGTTCCCCAAGACCATTCAGTCTCCCTAGGTCTTTGGGCCTAAAATGGAAGAGTTGGCCCCAGAGGCTTCTGCAATGCTTTCAGGGCCTTTTTCTCCTTCTCTTGATAATCCCTTTCATTTGTATTAATCTTCTTAGCTAATGGTCACTGGGCTGCACCATTGCATGCTCTCTGCTTCTCTACCACATGGTCAGGCTGCAAATTTTCCAAGTCTTTACATTCTGCTTCCCTTTTAAACTCTGGCTTTACCTCATGGCTTTTCTGCCATAACTCAGTGTAGGCTGTTGCAAGAAACCATGTAGCTTCCTTAATGCTTTGCTGTTTGGAAATTTCTTCTGCCAAACATTCTGGTTCACAACTCTTAAGTCCCACCTTCCACAAAGTCCAAGGGCATGGACACAATGCAACCAAGTTCCTTGCTATGGTGTAGCAAGGGTAATCTTTTGTCCAATTCCCGATAAGTTCCTTATTTCTATCTGAGACCTCATCATCCACATCACCTTTACTGTCCACATTTCTATCAACATTCTGGTCACAACGATTTAACCATTTAACTCTAAAATGTTCCAAACATTCTCTCATCTTTTTGTCTTCTTCTAAATCCTCCAAACTCCTCCAGTTCCAAAGCTGCTTCCACATTTTCAGGTATCTGTCTAGCAACCCCCCACTCCTCAGTACCAATTTTTTGTCTTAGTTTGTTATGTGTTGCTATAAGAGAACACCTGAAAGTGGGTAACTTATAAAGAACAGAGGTTTATTTGGCTTATGATTCTGAGACAGCTGCATCTGACATGGGCCTCAGGCTGCTTCTGCTCATGGTGGAAAGTGGCCGGCAGCCGGCAGGTACAAGCAGATCACATGGTGAGAGGAAGCAAGAGAGAGAGGAGGTGCCAGGGTCTTTTAAACAACCAGCTCTCACGGGAACTAATAGAGCAAGATCTTACTCAGGACACCCGCCCCCTAGACAGAGCATTAATCCATTCATGAGGGATCTGCCCCCATGACTTAAACAGCTTTCAGCACTGCCACACTGGGGATCAAATTTCCACATGAGTTTTGGTGGGGACAACACATCTAAACTCTATCAATAAATTAATGTCTACAATTTTCTCTTACAGAATTTTCTAAATTTACAATGTATTATGTAAATAGTTGTCAAATTTCAAATGATGATTTTATATCTAATCTTAAGATTTGGCAGAAATAAATACATACTCTTGCTTTTTTCAATCTTCTTAGTTCTCATTTTCTCAAATTAAAAAGTACTAAATTTTGGATTATCTTCTTACAGGAGTCCTGTCATGTTAAAAAATCACATTTGTTTTGCTTTTTGGAGAGACAGAATAGGATAATGAAAAAGTGCATAAGTGCTAGGGCATCCCAGCTTTCCCACTTACTAGCCCTGTGACCTTAGGCAAGTTACTTAACTTTTTCACTGTGCCTCAGTTTCCTCATTAAATGGGCCTCATAATAGTCCCTGTTTTATAAAGTTTTGTAGGCATTAGTGTCTGTAAAGCACTTAGAACAAAGAACAATACCTGGCATTTAGTAAGAGCTCAATAAATCTTTTTTTTGTTTTGTTTTACAGACCCTCTCCAGCTCTCCTTTTGAGCTATGGCAACAAAAACCATGTGCAGTCTTGCAACCACAGAGGTCAACAAGAGTTTAAATGAGGTAAGGTATTGTTTTCTGATTTGTTTCATTTTTGATGACATTCCTGAATATGCTGTGTTTTTTCTTAGCCTTTTTGATATAGTAGCACACTGGGCTAATGTTTTCAGTGAAAATAAAAACTTCCATATCCAGTTTCTGAGTAATAACTGATAGTGTTATTTTTTATCATCCTATTTGGATTCTTTTTCTTCTAAATACCTAACCTAATATTGCTTCACCCTAAAGCTCACTGGGAATTTTTATATTCACTAATACAAACTAAAGATTGCAGGCATCGTATAATCAAAGAATTTTATACATCTAGGAAGAGACATTTTAAAATTCTTTATTCAAACTACTAACAGTCCAAACTACAGATGAGGAAATTGACTTAAAAAGATTGAATGACTTTTCCAAAATAGCAAAGATAGCTCATTGATTTTTTCCCCTAATATACTGAATTATCTCCCTTTTCTACATTCCACTCTTATTTAATGAAGAAATTTATTCTCTAAAATCATATCATGTAGGGCCGGCCCGTGGCTCACTCGGGAGAGTGCGGTGCTGATAACACCAAGGCCCCGGGTTCGGATCCCACATAGGGATGGCCGGTTTGCTCACTGGCTGAACGTGGTGCTGACAACACCAAGTCAAGGGTTAAGATCCCCTTACCAGTCATCTTTTAAAAAAAAATAAAATAAAAAATAAATAAAATAAAATCATATCATGTAATTATATAAATGCAGCTTTCCAATCACACTAAGGGATTCTTGAGTTCTTCTCTTGACTACCAATCAGGAAGCTTTACCGGGAGTTTGTTTCTGATTGGTGAAAGTAAGCTGTAAGAGTAGAATGCCAAGGAGTAAACAAAAAAAGCATAGTAACAGCAACGGAGTTTGCTGTCTCACTACCTCAGCCTAGGCCAACCTAGACTTCTTCATCCCAAATGAGGTGGCTTCTACATTTTATATGAAGGCTCCAATTTCCCACTTAACTGTGATCCATCTTATAACATGGCAATCCAATACAGATAGGAAGATAAAGCTGAGCAACACAACGAAAATAAAGTATATTCCCAAGTAAAATAGAGAAATGCTTTAATTTGAAATGGATTAGCCTGATGAGCTTGATTTAGAAGACCACGGGAAGATACCAGTGCTCAAGAACCATAACTATGGACCCATGACACCAGTTCCCACTGAGTGGCAGCAGTTGTTATGCGTAACGTAACTCATTGCAGCGTGTGAACTCATAGCCAGACAGGACTTGCGAACAGGTCTGCTGTGGAAACAGACATGGAGGATGGCCATGTTTCACAGCTAGGAGGGTCCTGGTTTCCCAGGAATGAACAGTCACATCCCAGAGCTGGTAGTTTGTTGTCCTATCTGTAGGCCATGAGGGGAGGATGCTTTTTATAATGAGTGACAATTAGGAATGGAGTCTCTCTTTGCACTTTTCTGGAGGAAGAAATTTCTACCGTCTTATTTTTTATTCTTGTTTACAGAGCACACATTGCAGAAACAGGATGAAGTTGTCCAGTGAAAAGTTGCCCAGGAACCCCTTTTATACCTCTGTATCCAAGTATGTTGCTAAGAACCAAAAAGTCTTCGAATGGAGAAAAGAAAAGACTGGTACAAATCCTGATATTTAATCTTCCTTTAGAAAATATTTTCACTAAAATTCATTACATATGCTAGAGCAAACAAGACAATATGTGTTACTGGTTTCAAGGAAGTGGTTAATTTTACAGTTCTCTTCTAGCTTTCTTGCAAGAATCCGTGAAATTGCTACTTAATTTATCTGGTAGCAAATCATCAGTGGAAAGTCTCTCAATTAGATCCTGATCCGGATTTTACTCTCAGGACTTAAGGACACATTTCTAGAAAAGAGAAACTACATGTCACTTCTTTAAAGAGAAAATGCCATGCTTTACTTGAAATTGGCATTTAAAGCTATCATTTTTTTTGTATAGACTTTAAAAAAATTAAATTGGGAATGGTTGGCTAGAGTGGTTCTAATTAAAGATCAAATTAAGAATTTAACTCACCCACAAGCAAGATAACTTTGCCCAAGGAGAAACCAATGCATGGACCATATTGCTAGAGCTCCTACCTGGCAGTGAACAGGGTTAGTTTGAAAACCAATCAATAAATACTTCTTGATGATATAAGGCATACTGTTAGGTCCTGTGATAATGCTTTTTTTTAGGTAATGCTTTTCTCATGAGCTAAAGGAGGCCAGTTTTAGGAATGAGTACTAGGAAGAAAGCTAGTATTAATAATGTTAGATGAATCCTATATAACTTATTATTTCAAGAGATAAAATTCATATTGTATGGTTAATGTAATGCTTTGCCTTTTTAATCATTATAGATCATTATAGCCATGCTAATTTGTTGGATAAGGCATTGCAGCTCTTGAAGGAAAGAATAGTAAGAGGGGACATGCTGGCATATTTCCTACGAGGTCAACTATATTTTGAAGAGGTATCATTTTTTGTTTTCATTTCCTATAATTCTGTTGTTAGATCCTCATAACAAAAGTTTGCGTAAAGTTTTTTACATTGTTATACCCGGGAGTTTCTGTCAAATTACCTAGATTACAATCATGGCTTTAAGTATGATACACTGCTACCAGCTTAAGGAGGTATCTGACCTTCCTTCATGAAAGTCATTCTAATGAATGTCACTTTTGGGAGTCATTTTGGTATAAAATCTATTTTTACACTATAAATATAAAATCTAATCTTTATATTTTTGTTCACAATATTTAATATAATTTGTAAAATAATTTCATATTAATAACAATTGAAGACCCTGATTCTTATCTAGTACTTAAAGGTAGCTTTGTGTGTTTCTATACAGAGTGAGGATGGAATTGCCCTGTTTATCCACATTTTGCTGGGATATCCTGCAAGGTAGACCTAGAAGGAATGACACAAACTATCATCCCAATTTCAGTAATATAGCTTCTTTTTTTTTCTTTTTTGGTGGCTAGCCAGTATGGGGATCCAAACCCTTGACCTTGGTGTTAGTAATATAGCTTCAATTCTTGATTGAACCACAAGGGAAGATTTGAAAAGAGACTGTACCCAATTCCTCACTATCCACTGAATATTAGGGAAGTTATTCACATTTATCCTTCTTACTCTCTAACCTTTTGATGGCACCTTTCATTTATCCTGGCAACAAATATTTGTTGAGGATTCATGACGCACTTGTCGCTCCGAGGATAGCACAGTGGCTGAGAGCATGATCTCAGTTTTGGCCATAGGTTCAAAATGGCTGTATTGCTTGTTGTGTATCTCTGGGCAAATAACCTCCTGGTGCCTCAGTTTGGGATTACTTTAAGACTGTAATAAATATAATTAAATATTTTCTGGGGGCTTACAGGGATGGTATGAAGAAGCATTAGAACAGTTTGAAGAAATCAAAGAAAAAGATCATCAAGCAATTTACCAGCTAGGAGTCATGTATTATGATGGGCTGGGCACCACTGCAAATGCTGTAAGTTATTGTTTTGTTCACAATGTTTAAGATTTTATTGTTAATGGATTATTTGATAAAACTAAAATCATTTATATATTAATAATATATCTCTATTCTTACATTTTAATAATATCTAACTTTTTAGCATTTTAGAGGATATCAGTATCATTTTTACATTTATGTAAAAAACAAAATCGATTTCTTTTTGCCCCTCTCTCCTTCTCCAGCTCCAGGCTAGCAGCTTCTCTACAAAATTCTTTGAGATTCTTGTATAACTGGGTTCAGCTATAAAAAAGAATGGGCCTCTCTTACTTGATCTTTTGATAAGTTTACTTCGAATGACCCTCCCCAAATGCTAGAACAATGCTTAATCTTTCCAATTATTTCCTCCTGTGTGCTAACAATGAACTAGGATTATTCTACTGAAATTGCTTCTGAATTGAATTGGTCACTATATTTTTGTTCAAGTTATGAGTAGATATGGTGAAATCAACATTAGTATCAACTTCTCATTGGTTAAATATCTTTTAGTACCTAGTTTGTCTTTTATAGAACATGAAGTTCTACCAGTGAGAGTTCACTTTATTAAGGGGCAGGAAAGGGGTAAGGTTCAGACTCCTTTTCTGAGCATGGTCCTCATATTAACAATAAAGTCTTTGATGTGTTAAAATATTCCCTGGAAACATTATAGAAATTTCCTTCAAATCTAGGGACCTTAGAAAAATTGGAATTTTTATACACTATATAAATAGTAAAGACATCTATAACTCTAAATTTTGAGATACCAGGTCATAAATAGATACTGTGGGAAATTCAGATACTCTTGGCTGAGAAATTACATTGTCAGTTTGCCATGAATTTTTTTAATTGCACAATTTGAGTCTCTTGGGGGCCATTACATTTTGAATTCTCTGATTTATTGCAGAAAATGTTTCTTGCTGCCATTAGCTGTCGATAACATTTCTGTTTAAAATGCCTTCATTTTTAAAAGTTATTTCAAAGCTACATGAACATGGATAAAAATTAGAAATTAAGCAAAAATAGAATCACTCTAAATTCTACTATCAGATATAAACACATTATTATATATAAATTTATATATATTTGTATATATAGTTATACACACATACATATATATACGTTTTCAATATAGGACCGATATTATACATACCATTTTGTAATATCTTTTTTTACCTAACAATGTATTTTGAATGTCCTTTCTTGTCAATAAATGTAATCTACATCATCATTTTAATATCTGCATAATCTATTGAAAATCAATAATCTATCTAGGCCTTATTTATTTTGGCATGTTAAAAGATAAAAGAGAATAAACCAAGCTATGAGATTTGGAGATCAGTATTATAATTTTCTCTATTATTTATTATTTTAATTAAATTTTTTTTTTTGCCTCATCTTACAAAGAAATTTCATACATTGTCAAATAAAAATTGGGAATTTATTTTTTTAACTTTCAAAGACATTTACAAGTTTATTTCTCTGTGTTCACTATCAAAGCTTTCCTATCCATAATTGTGTATTAAAATTTCAAAATCTGAAAAGCACACAGGCTTTTAAATCTTGGCTTCACCACTTGTTAGCAGTACGATCTTGGGAAAATTACCTAATATTTCTGAGCTTTAGTTTTCTTGTTTGTAAAACAAGGATAAATAAACCTATGTTAGAGATAAACTTGCCATTCCCCCCTCCTTTGGTCATGGACTTCTTTCCAGCTGAGTCAGAACCTTTATCAATACAAAGCTTTAAGGAGACATTACCAATTCAATCATTGGTAAATGAAACAAAACCCATTAGCCTAATCCACACAGTTGTTCATGACATTAAATGGCGACATATAAAAACACCTAACACGTTGCACATATAATAAACATCCAATGACCATGCTGAGTCAGAACCTTTATCAATACAAAGCTTTAAGGAGACATTACCAATTCAATCATTGGTGAATGAAACAAAACCCATTAGCCTAATCCACACAGTTGTTCATGACATTAAATGGCGATATATAAAAACACCTAACACGTTGCACATATAATAAACATCCAATGACCATTTTCTTCCTGCCTCTATTTTGTATAAGGCAAACGATCGTGACTACATTTAAATTCCTGAAATTCTTTATTTTTACTTTTTTTATAATCATAGTATTCTATGATGAAATGATGAATGAATGATGGAAAAAAGGAATATTTGCATTAAATACAAGATATTTTATTTTAACTTGTTTAAAATTTAACCTGTCAAAAGCTTAGTAGCATAAGAATACCTGACTATGTTGCCCTTACTTACTCCAAATTGAACACAGTTGACCACACCCTCCTTGAAACACCCTGCTCTCTTAGAAGCTCGGATATCTTTACTTCATCTGATTCTTTCTCCTATGTTGATATACACACCTCCTTCTACCATCTCCCATGTGTTTGTAATACAGTTTTCAGTTTTTCTATGTTTGCCTCCTACTTCACAGCTATCTGTTCTCAGGTACCTTTGCCAGCTGCTTCTCTTCTGTCTCAGTGTTGAATTGTGTCCGAATCTAGGCCTTGGTCCTCTCTTGCCCTCTTCTGCCCTCTCTCCCTGAATAAGCGCAGCCAGTCCCATGGTTAACACCCTCTCTCCCTTACGTCTTCATACCAGAACCTCATTCGAGATCCATATAGCCAATTGCCTATCTCTCTCTAGATATTTAATATACAACTTCCTTTCTCTTTGATTCACATCTAATTCATTTACAAATCTACTCTTTTAAATGCACACAAATATTAACACTTAAGGCAGTGGAGTTTCTTAGTGCACTGGTATCATTCATAAGGGTTGCAGTCATCCTTGGAATTGCACTTGAAGAACACAAAAGTGGCTAGAAAAATCTATTTCTATTTTTGGTACTGTGAGCACCTACTATGCAACTCATGAGGTATGTGCTTACTCTTCTGACCTTTCCAGTCCTGGTTTAGTTAGATTAATGTATCGGATTAATGTATTACTTACTCACTCTTTCATTCCACAAACATTTGGGATGATGTTAGAAACAGTCCTAGGTGCTAGGACTCATCAAAGATGAGAATGAAAAGGCATTTATAGTCTAAGAAATACTATCAGTGCAGTTAAGTGTCCTGGATTGAAATAGATACATGTGTTAGGCATGAAGTTGGGGTCAAGGGAGTTTTCATCAAACAGCTCACACAAGCTGTATCTTAATGATAAGAAAAGCATATAAAGGAAGGAATGGCATTTAGACAGAGGAAGCAACATGAGCAAAGTTGGGGAACCTCTTTCAGTAGCCCAGATCCAACTCACCCAGCTCTCTTCTTGCGCACTGCAGTACAGTTGACCTTTGTACAACATGGGTTTGAACTGCACAAGCCAACTTATATGAGAATTTTTTTCAATGTATTTAAATGCTTTTTAAATGTATCTTCTCTTCCTTATGATTTTCTTAATAACATTTTCTTTTCTCTAGCTTACTTTATTGTAAGAATATAGTATATAAAACATATAACATACATACTTTGGGGGATTTATTATTTCTTTGGTAAATTTAAATTATTGATTCTTTTTGTTTTTTTAAATTCTTTTTGGCTAGATTTTTTGCAGAGATTTTAAAATGACATAGTTGTGTATTTTATCTTACCATTATTACCATTTTCAAAGAACTTTCCTAGAGTAAGATCACATCTCTCTGAGAAAAATCATGTTGGCAGTTGTCAAGATAGTAAAATACTTGTCCTTGTTACAAACACAATTTTTATTTTATTTTATTATTATTATTTTTTTAAAAGATGACCGGTAAGGGGATCTCAACCCTTGGCTTGGTGTTGTCAGCACCACGCTCAGCCAGTGAGCAAACCAGCCATCCCTATATAGGATCCGAACCAGTGGCCTTGGTGTTATCAGCACCACACTCTACCAAGTGAGCCACGCACCGGCCTTACAAACACAATTTTTAATACATTAAAAGAAAAATATGTCATAACCAAGTATTTCATCACCCAGAAATTTAATAATTCAATATAACAAAACCTGTAAATATAATATACCACTTTAATAGCTTAAATAAAAGAAACCATATGATGGTTTTGGTATGTATTAAAAAGGCATTTCAAAGAAATCAGTATTTATTTGTAATAAAAACTTTTTAACAAACAGTACTAAGGAGTATGTTTCCTTAACACTTGAAAGTAGCCGTTTAATGTTAAGAGCCCAAACTAGATAAAGTCCTTGCATAAGCAGAAAAAATATTTTCCATAACCAACTCCTCACACTGTCCTGCTCATACTGTCTCCTGAATATCTTTCAAATCTGTCCCCAGCCCTTTATCCTCATTCCCTTTGTTTCAATTCAGGCCCACTGTACCCCTTACCTGGATTATAACAAAAGCAGATGCTCAACTTCAGCCCATGTCCCAAATTCATCTGTCATACTGCCACCAAAGCCATATTTCCAAAACAGAAATCTAATCATGTCGTATCCATCTTTAAGAATTTCCCAAGACTTTCATGTCAAAATGTCAGAATTAAAAATCATTGTTCCTATGGAAAGCCAGGTAGTTGCCAAGAGGCTGCGTAAAGTAATATTTAATTGGCAAATTCTCCTTGACTCAGAATTTGGCTTTAGACTTGCAAGTCCAGAAACTCCATCTTGTCCATTACCCCAGCTGATCAATCTTTGGAAATCTGAGTAATGTTAGCTAAACCAAGTTATTAAATTCGTGGTTTCTGGTAGTTTATTTCCTGATTAAGGCACCATAATGCCAAGGCAGCTCCAAGTCTCCAAGCAAAAACAAATTCATCTCCTTTTCTCAAACAAAGCAGTTTAGTCATCTCTTTTGTGACCTTCCCATCATTCAGGTCTCTGCTCAAATTTATTCCTCTGAGAGGCTTTTTATCATCATATTATCAAACTAGCATCCTTCTTTAGTTTTCAAATCAGTAACTGCCATTCCAAACCTCACCTAAGCCCTGAGTTTGCTGTCTCTGCCTGGTTGCTGCCATCAGGGGGGC